AGAAGGAACAGTAGATGTTTGTTACTTCTTGGAGGACTTGCATATTAGAGCTTGCTAAGGCAACATCGTCCATGTAAACAAGGATTTTGGAGGTTGAAGAGTATTCAGTTGATATTTTGATTACTACAGGGTCATAAAAGATGGTTCAAAGTAATGGAGCTAGGGGTTCCCCTTAGTCGATCCCTTTACTTACTTTTAGGGGTTTGGTAAGTTTATAATAGGTTATTATTTTCAGTTCTTTTTCATTTAAGAGATCGGTGATGAGTGAGGTGAATTTATTTGGCAATTTGATGCGATTCATTGCTTTCTTGAGGCTGGTGATATTGACAGAATCAAAAGCTTTGGAGATGTCAAATGATGCTACCCATATTTCCTTGTTAAGATTATTAATGGTATTGATGCATGAGCTAATAATTGCAATTGGCTCAGTGGTACTTTGGTTTTTGAGGCCAGCAAAATTGGATTCTGAGAGAGCATTATGCCTTAGAATACAATTAGCAAGTCTGTCGTTAGTGATTTTTGTGAAAATTTTCCTGCTTGTTTCAATAAGTGAGATCGGGCATGTGTCAGTGAGATCGTGTGACCAGACAAGTTTTTTGGGTAATACTGTAACGGCTGATTGTTTCCAGAATTTAAAAATTTGATCTGATATTAGAATGTCATTGAATAGAGCTAAGATAATTTTTTTTGCATGTGGACCTATTTGGATTCAAGCTTTATAAGGAATAAGGGTGAGCCCAGGGGTTTTACGTTTGGAAAGATCAGTGAGGGCTTCTTCCAGATCCTGCATAGATAATGTTGAAACAAGATTATTATAGGCATTGTCAGGGATGTGGTTCAGTGGTTCATAATCTGCTAACTATTCGTTATTAATAACAAATGGTTTGGGGTCTAGGATTTTTTTGAAGTGATCGAATATGATAGTTGCAAGCTTGTCAGGGTCATCATAGAGTTGGTTGTCTTCTCTTAGGAGGATTGAAAGGTTGAGAGAGGATCTCAGATCTCCTAATACTTTTTTGAGAGTATTTTTAGGCCTGGTCCAAAATCTATGATAATTCGATTCTATATCCTTTTGTACTTCTTGGATAATAATATCATTTAATTTAAATAATTTTTCCTTGATTAAAGTTTTCAGCAGTTTTTAAAGATCTTTGGTGCAGGGACAATTACTGGTAATTTTTCGTAAAGCTGATGAGGCGATGACTGGAAGTCTTGAGAAGATATCTTCACTGTTATTGTTTTTTGATGCATTAATTGCTCTCTTGATGGCTCTTATGGCACTGGAGTAATGTTTGAGAGGGTCTATGTTACGGATGAGTGTCATGCACTTTCGCTTTGGAATGTTATTGTCAAGAGAGTTTTTGATGGCGTTATTCATAAAGTCTCAGGTTGGAGTGTTGCTTGTTAGGCATGCGAGTTCAATATCCTCTTTGAATTCTTTTATGTTTTCTGGAGTAGCATCCTTGAATTGATAAATATTGGTATTGAAGCATATTCTGTTAGGTTTATATTCAAACCAATCCAATATAATGGTCACTTGTTTATAATCGGAGATTATGACCATTTGTTCCTGAACTTTATATGAAAGTATTTTGCTTGCCAGATTACTGGTGATCCATACTTGATCAATTCTAGAAGCACTATTGTTTGTGATATGTGTGTACCTATGCTCATTGTTTGTTATTTTACCAATGTCAATAAATTTTTGGAGATATCGATATATATACCTCTTGTAAGCTGTTGTATGAGCATGTATGTGGAGAGCAGAGGAGGGGTACGTGTTAAAGTCTCCTGCAAGAATGATATGTTTACTAGAGTACTTTCCGATAAAGTTTTTTAGGGTTTTAACTGCTATTTTCCTGAGGTCGTATTCATGGAGAAGATAATATGAGATAATTATAATGTCCACTCTGGGTTTGAATTTGAAGTGGATTGTGCACCAGAACTCGTTAAGGGCGAAGGCTTTAAAGACATGATTAGTGATAGCTTTAGTTAGAAGAATGGCTGCTCCATTGCTGGCAGAATCCTTGGGTAAGCTGGTAATGATTGTGATATTGTTTAGAGATGTAGGAAGTGGTTTTGATTTTGTGATTTTTGTCTCTGAGCAGCAAAGGATGTATCTATTGCTTGTAATAGACTTGGTAAGTTCTGATACTTTTGCACAGCTGTTGAGACCTCTGACGTTGAGGGTAGATAATGTAATGAGATTTTTAAGAGGCATTATAATAGAGTTTGTTTAATAATAGATTGATTTAATAGGTATGGAAGACAAGGGAGTGATAGTTGATGTGCTAGTTAACAACGAATGACTTGAGTTAATCGTTGTATGCATTATTTATATAAGTTTTGGTAAGAGAGTCAGAACTGGGTCAGGTGACGTGGGTTCAATTAGAAATTCTGGTGATAGTTTTTCGAAGTGGAATATTTTCTTAAGGGCGTTAAGTTTGTTCGTGAGTAACCCATCTTCAATTATTGAAAGGGTTATTGTACTGCTTTCAGATCTGAGGATGGTTTGAGCTTCCTCGAGATTGGAAAGGTCTGGTAGGATCGGTGTTATCCATTGTTTTGGGATATGACCAAAGTATTTCTCTTTAATTATTTTGACAGTTATAGCGAATTCAGGGTGTTCTCTATTCAACTTGTCGCTAGTTATTCCAAGCTCTTCTTCTACTTGAGAAAAGTTACTTGGGATGTGAGGCTTTTCACTCTGAATTAAACCTTCCTTGATCCACTCAGGTTCAATAGAAAGTTTGAAAAAGAATTCAGTTTTTAATTGCCTATTAAAACCTTTGACCTCATCTTGATTGTTAATAGGGAGAATAATTCCATAATTTTTGCTATACCAGTGTACTGGTGGGAGAGGTCTTTTGGTTATGATGTAGTCTGCCGGTAGTTTTTTTACAGTATAAGATTCATTCCTCAAAATTTGTACAGCTTCTTTGATGTCAGCAATATTGTTGCTTACTGGGAAGTAGCCAATCAGGTTTTTTGGAAGATCTTTATAGGATGGAGGGAGCGGTTCCTTTGGAGGCAAAAGGCAGAAGTATAATTCAGGAAGCTTATTTGGCATGTAATGGTACTCTCTCAGTTTGTCGACTAGTATTCGAAGATCTCTAAGATCTGCTCTCTTTGTCAGAGGGAAAATGCCTTGTACTTCAACTTTCAAATGAGATGGGTTCTCTGGAAGATTGGGCCTTTTAACAAAATATGAAGGGAAAAGCAGGTCAAAATTGTAGTATGCTCTAAGGCATTGTGCAATTTCTCTTGTATGTTTGGGTGAAGTGATTGGGATGGCTTTAGGAAGCTTGATTTTGATAGAGGCGGGGATTAAATCGGGTGAGGCTGGGAGGTCAGGTAGTTTTATCTTGATAAGTTCTTCATATTTATTATAAAGGTCCTGATAATTTATTTTTGGGAGGGAAGGATCAAAAAAAAAATTAAAGCCGTATTCGAGTAGTTGAGCAGCTTGCCAGTAACTGAGTTTTGTGAGGTCAAAGGACCTGAGGTAGGCTGCAAAAAGAGCTTTATTGATGATAACTCTGATTTTTTTCCAGGTCATTTTGGTAATATAACCAATATTATTGGCATTAAGGTAATTGACTTTGAATTCGCCCTCAATTTTTTCGTATTCCACTTGGTGCTGTCCTTTAATCAACTCTTCTTTAGCAAATGTTCTGAAAAAGTTTCGGTCTCTGTGACCTATTTTTGAAAAGATGGCCTTTAGGGAAGACCTTGGGTAACCTCTAGGTTCGTCTCTGAATTTTAAGAAAAGATTGATAATGGCTTCTGGGGATCGATTACATAAGGTAATTTCATTGCAAAAATCAAGGATCTTTTGCTGTTCATCTTCTGGTGGTATTAAACGAATATCATTGGATAGATTATTAGTGAATAGTATAGCTGGTGTGGTTTCAGTATCATTCGCCCATGATTGAGTGTCTATTAAGTCTTCTTTTTGTGATTGGGTCAAAGGTAGGTGGTCATCAATTTCCATTTCAAAGTCTGTTTGGGCCTCGTGCGATGACGAAATATGGCTTACATTAGTTGTTTCATAATCACCTGGGTTTGTGTTGTCTAATGATGATACGCGTTCAGGGGTGGAGGCAGGGATTGTTGCTGAAGAAGAATCAAGCTGCATGGTATTGTTATTGATCGTCATATCATGATTGATACTTTCCTCAATAGGTGCAGGAGTGTTTGGAGGGGGTAAGGGAGTTTTGGTTTTTCTGTTCAGGGTGAAAGTTTTTTGTTTTTTGTCAGTAAGGATTTCAAGCTTGTCCCAAAGAATATGAAGGCTATAGTTTAATTTTTGTTTCATTATTTCTTTCATGATATCTGTTCTGTCATCATCAGTTAAGTGGAATATATGTTGAAATTCTAAAAAGGTGTTTAGGTCAGCAATTATCATTTTCTCAGGGATGGAGAGGGTTAGAATTGTAAGCTAGGCAGAGAGTCTTATTCTTTGGTAGTCTTCAAAAGAAACAACGATTACTTGAATATCTTCTTCCACATTTTTAGGGGAGTGGACTGGAGTTAGCCAGACTTTTGGACAATTACCAAATTTAGGAAGATGAGTAGATTGAGTGGATAGAGTGGTGAAAATTTTATTGGTTTTTGTATTTTTGTAGATAATAATAACTTAGGGAGGATCTATGTTTGTAACCAAAACATCCAAAAGGATATGTTCAGCATTGGATGTGTGATCTTTGGAGGCAGAAACTCCTTCAAGATCCTTTGTTTTTCCTTTAAGCAAAGAAATTTTTTCTTTATTTTTTGAGTTTCCTTATATGGTAGTTTTATTAAGACGTGAAAGAGTATATTTTATCATCTCCAAAGTTATAATAACTATATATTTTTAATCTATATAATAAAGAAATTTTAATGCATAATCTATTTAATATTAAAGACAAAAGTAAATATAATTATTATTGTTTGCTATTTTTTATATAATTATTTGACTAGAAAAAATGAGACAAAAATTTTAAAGACTTTTTCAAAACCTAAAAAACAAAACAAATTATTATAGCAAATAGATTTAATTCTTATTTTTCTTTGTATTTATTTATCAATATTTTAATTTTTTAGTTCAAAAAACAAATATATTATTATATAAAGAATTTTATAAATATAGCAAAGATAATTAATTAGAAACAATATTATATTTATATAATTTCAATTAGTATTTTAAGAATAAACTAGATCTAGATTTAAATAACCTAATTAGTTAAGTTCTAAGCTATAAAGTTTATAAATAACAAGTTATATTAGTAAATTACAAATAAATTATTATAATTTTAAACAAGTCTAGTCATAATGTATATTTTTAACCTTCTAATTATATAAAGTAATAGAAGAACAAATTTAAGTAATTGAAAAGAAAATAAAAATATAACTTATAGTTATATTTAATTTCTCTCAAGAATTATTGAATACTATTAATAAAAATATAATATAAATAATATTTTTAAAAGAGAATAAACAAATTCAATCAAACTTAAATATTTATAAAAAATATATAAGAGCTATTAGATTAATTAAATTTATTATTCATAATATCAATAAACAAATTCTTCTTCAAAATTAATCCTTTTAGTAAAATTAGTACTTCAAAAAATTATTGATAAGTTATAATTAATCAAGTTTCTAAAAAAGTACAAAAATATTTTATCAAAGAGAAAATGTTCTATATAAAAAATCTAATAATTAAGGAATTTCAAACAAATATAAAAAAAAATTTTTAATATAAATCAAAAAATATTTTAAAAAAACTCTAAACAATCTCAAGCTTTTTTTTTATTTATCAATTCTTTTTAATAGCAATCAATTTCAAGATAATTTAAAAGAGCTTGTCAATATTATTATAAAGAAATTCTGCAAAAAAAAAACTATTTAATTTAAATAACAAATAAAAAAAAATATACAATTATATATAAAAAGCAGTAGTAATTTATTTAAACAAGTTATAAATATTATATTCAAAAAAATTTAAAAGTATTCTATATAAACTATTCAGACATAAAGCCTTAGAACAGTTTAAATAAATCATGATAAAATTTAAATAAACAAGCAAAAAAACTATATACTACTTGTTTAACTTAATATTGAAATTTTTTTAATCATTGGTATATTAAAAATAATCAATTATTACTTCACTACTCAAAAAGTTAATTTGATTATATGAGTTAGCAGATATAGAATCAATTTTCTTATTAAGTCAAGTAAAAAATATTAATTAAAATAATAAGTAAAAAATTGATTAAAATAATTTACTAAAATAAGCTTTTTTTAAATTATAAGTTTATTGGTCTCAAACTTGCAGATCAATGGTGCAGTGGGTGTACTCCCAGATCACCATCCACAAGTTACTGATTCAATTTCACCTAGGAATAGTTTTCGCAATATAGGTTATGTTGTACAAGATGTATACTTATCATCACATGCACTCTTGTACTCATAAATAATCTATAGATTTTCACTATCTGATAACGATATAAAACTCAGATCACTCAAGTCTTGGCTGGTTTTAGTGCTAAGGAAATCTTTGATAAACCTGTTACCTGGAATATATAAGGATCCAAGACAAGCCAAAAAAAATACTGATCAGCTCAAGCCTTTTAATAGATATAGGAAGAACATCCATCTATTATCAAAACTATACCCTATAGAAGATAAGGAAGACTTCAGTCATTTGTATCCGTCAAAAATATAATGGGTTGTAACAACAATTAATGGGAGATTTTTATGATTGTGAAACCAATGACTATCAAAGAAAATAGCTATTGCGAAGGTTGGTGGTTTTCATTAGTACCATGTTGGAAACTGCAGGGGTGGACTAGAAATTTGGGAGAAGCAATTTAGTAAGTAACAACCAAGAGAAACTCCTGAAGGCCAGCTTACAAGAGTAATTAAAAATGAGGCAATGGAAGGCTATATGCCATCTAATTATGTGACACCATTGAATCATCTGGATATCAAGAACATGACCGGAGACTTGTTCTATCAAAGTTTCAACTAGCCTGCGAAGGACCCGAACATGGTAAAAATCATCCATAGTACTCATGATCATCAAGCAGTAAACATGACCCCACTAAGGAACACAGAACATAAGCCCCTTGAAGATTAATAACAAGAAATCTATAGTGGATCTTTGGAATGCTATAGTCCTGGGCAAAGTAGGGCAACTGATAAAAATGGTATCACTATATGGTAACATTAACGAGTTTGGCTAGGATAAGTAGTTTAATTAAGGTTATATGAATCGCTCATATAATCTACTACTATTGAATACTCAATAAACTTCATCCTGTCAAGTTAAACTTTTTTTTAAAAAAAAAATTTTTACTGGTCCCAAAAATCAAAGAATTATAAAATCCATATTTATAATCTTATTAAAACAAGCTATGGCAACTAATTTTGATTAATAATAATAAATAAAATTATTTAACATTTTTAAAATATTAAATTAATTTATCTATTAAGTCTTTAATGATACTTAATCAAATTAAAATATCAAAATATCTCACTTAATTAATTTTAAACCTTTTAAATTAATAAGAATTAAAAATTACTATATATTATAATTTGACCAAACTCTTTAAAATTAAAAATAATTTTAACTAAGAAAAAACACTAGTTCTACTCTTATAGATTATATTTTATCTCTATAATTTTCAGAGTTATCTATTATTCTATAATAAAAACTATAATTTATATATACATATATAAATAATATAATAATAATAAATCAAAACCTTCAATATTTTTAACATGTCACAAATATTTTTTGTTTCTTTTTTTTTTGAGTATTCATAGTTAATCTAGATTGTTCGTTTATTAATTAATTTAAAATATAAGTACATTTTTATTTAAACAGCATGATGCTACTATAGTTAAACTATTAATTCTAATTAACTTATTATAAACATAAAAGCCTCTAAGTTTAGCCTTGAGAACAATATTTTGTTTCACAGTGTCTTTGGATAAAGATTCTTCTAATTCATTGTATTATTACTAGCATGTTATTACTGCCATATATTATACCAAGTCCCTGAAATACAAGAAACTACAAAAGGATATGTTGAAAAAAAAAAAAAAAAGGATATCTAAAAATGTTTAAACAGAAAACAAGAAAATAAAAAAGTAAAAATTTGAAAAAAATATTTCCAGTTTCCTTCAAAGATCTGCTTCTTAAGATCTCTTCTCAATAAGAAATATATGATTAAGATATCTTTTTTTTTTCTATTTATCTGAGGAACTTATTTATTCTTGATTTTGATTTCCTTCTTATATACTGTCTGAGGAAACTTATTGCCTAGTAGAAGCCTTTACATTCAGGACACACTTGATTCTAACTTTCTTTGAATAGTGATTTTTTATTTACTTGCAATAGGGAAATGACTTATAATAAATTTTAGGTTCTTATATGACCTAGTAAAAATTGGATCATGTTGTTTCAGTATAATATCTTTCAGCAGCCATACCTAATTAAAGAAATTTTACTGATATATATCTTCCATTATCCAAAAGGCCAGATCCCCCAATAATTCTTTTGCCTTATAATAATGGAAAGATCTCAAAAGCAATGGGAATTCTTATCAAAAGCTATATTCTTCAATAGCTTTTAAGGAAATGCATTCTCAACTATAACCAAAGGATTGGAGCTTAGTATAGACTAGAGACTATTTGATATTATTGCCTAATTAGAATAAAAAGAAGATCTTGATCTTGAACTTTGCCTAATTAGAATAATAAGAGAGAAAGGCCTCAGCTTGAACAAATATTAGTTTTTTCACCACCTGGGAACTTGTTATTCATATTTTATTAATCTAATGGAACTTAATCTGTAAGTTAACCCAATTGGAGGAGTGGCATAAATATGGGACACCAATTAACTCTTTCAATCACCAATAATATCATTAGAATATGTGAAATAATCAGTAAGGACTTGTTTATATTCAGTTATTAATATGTTTTGTGTCAACTAATTAAAAGCCTGATGACATTGTGTTATCAAAAATTCAGGGTCAAACTGAGGTAGGCAAAATCCCTCAGGAAAACTGTGAAAAATAATAAACACTTTAAGAAAAACCAAAAAAGTATGAGAAGGTGGATAGTAAACCTTTCTCTGTTGACAAAACCTTTATTTTTTATTATTTTCAG